AGGATGCCCTCGCACCCCTCCTGCTTGGGGCGAGGTCTGGAGAGGCAGCAGACCGGGCTCCGCCCCCCCCTCCGCCCAGCACCTGACCTTTGTGCACCCAGCCCTGCAGACTCGGCCTTGACCTCCGCCCACTCTGGCGCTCTGTCCCCCGCCCGGCAGGATGCAAGGCTGGGCCTCTGTGCCAGAGCCTACTCTCCTCCCTGGAACAGGGGCGGGACGTGGCAGGCTTCTGACGCCAGAGGTTCAAGTCCACCCTCCTGGCCTCCGGGTCTCACCCCGTCACCTCCCAGCCAGGCCGCTCAGAGCCAGGTGCCTGCAGGACCTGCCCACCCAGGGGATTGGTCACTGATGGGGGACAGTTACTGCACACACGGCCCTGGGTGGGCTGGGGACTCGGGGCTCCTCTTCTGAAATTCAGCAGGTGGGGGAAGGGCAGGAGACAGTCCAACAGGCTCAACCTGCGGCCAGTGGACTTCTTAAAAGGCACTGAAGCAGGGGAAGGCACTGAAGCACGGGAAGGCCCGCCCCCAGCAGAAGGTGCTGGACTCTGAGTGAGCGAGGGAGAACGAAGGATGGGACCTGCCTCACGACACAACCACAACATGTTGCTCAAGGCGGGTTGAGCGCTGCACTGCCAGCCGCAAAGCTTGAAAGCAGAAGTCTTCTCAGCCCTGGGGGGCAAGTGCTTCTTTAAAGGGACACGCAAAGCACACACATAAAAGAAAAGGCTGATAAACAGGGTTTCATAACCACCCACAGTTTCCGCTGTGCAGACGCCGCAGTGAGGAGAGGAACAGAGCCAGGGCCGCGAGGTGTTCGGAAGGTGGGTCTGATGAGAACTGGCGCAGAGCACTGTGAACCTCAAAACTCAATAATTTTTTAAAAGCTCTGTTTTCTTTTTTTTATTATTAAGTATATATTTATTGATTTCAGAGAGGAAGAGAGAGGGAAAGAGAGATAGAAACATCAATGATGAGAAAGAATCATGGATCAGCTGCCTCCTGCAAGCACCCTACTGGGGATTGAGCCCGCAACTAGGGTCTGTGCCCTTGACCAGAATCAAACCCGGGACCCTTCCGTCTGCAGGCCGACACTCTATCCACTGAGCCAAACCGGCCAGGGCAAAGCCCAGTTTTCTTAAAATGAGCAAAATAGTTGAACAGACACTTCATATGGGAAAATACACGAATGGCCATAAGCACATTAAAACAGGGCCCACATAGCAGGTCAGCTGGGCAATGCCCCTGGAACCCATTCAAATGACCGTACAGAAAGGCTGTGCAACAAATGACCCCAAAACTCAGCGGCATAAAACAGGCATGTGTTTCGCTCACAAGTTCTGTGGGACCGGCAAGGACCGCGAGTCTCTGCTCGATGTCCAGAAGGTGTGGGTCCTGTGGCTGGTCCCCGGAGGCACCTCACTGCATGGCTGTCACCTGGGCGGGGTGGGGCTGGGCGTGGAGGGAGCTGCTGAGCATGTCTCCATCTCTCTGCGGTCTCTCCACGGTGGCAGCTCCGCTCCAGAAGGGGGGTGTTGACAGAGATAGAGAGAGAAAGAGACGGTGACTGTGACAGAGGCAGAGAGACAGAGAGACACACAGAGACAGAGAGAGACGGAAGGAATGAGAACAGCACGGACACTCTTGCCTTTCCTCATCCATCCTGAGAAGTCACGCAGCAGGACATCTGCCACGTCCGTGTCACCAGCATGAGCCACGAGGGCCAGCCCACACCAAGAGAAAGGAAACTGAGCCTCACATTTTGTGGGAGGAGAATGAGAATGTGTGGCCAGGTTTAAAGCCACACACAGAGGAGAGCAGAGGGCCACCCACGCAGCAGGAGCAGAGGCAGAGCCAACCCAGAGATGCACACGGTGACTTTCAAACTTTTGGACTAGGGTCTTCAAGTGACGTTTCCCAAAGCACTCCCTATCGTCCCCGAGGTGCACCCTGCTCCTCCGTGCTTAGAAAACAACTCCCTGAGGTGCGCTACATCCTGTTTGAAAAGTACTAACCAGGAAGCTGTATGTGCCTAATACCTAACCGTAAGTATATACAGCACCCAACTTGGTCTGTAGAGTCAACACAATCCCCCTCAGAACCCAGCCTGTTACGTGGTGGATATGGACCAACTGACTCTAAAGTTTACATGGAGGCGAAAGACCCAGAGCAGCCAAGGAAACCATGAAGGAGCCCTAGCTGGTTTGGCTCAGGGGATAGAGCGTCAGCCTGTGGATTGAAGGGTCCCGGGTTCAAGTCAAAGGCACGTACCAGTTGCGGCTCGATCCCCAGCCCTGGTTAGGGCACATGCAGGAGGCAACCAATCGATATGTCTCTCTCACATTGATGTTTCTCTCTGTCTCTCCCCCTCCTTTCCACTCTCTCTAAAAATCAATGAAAAAATATCCTCAGGTGAGGATGAACAAAAGAAAAAAGAAAAATAATAAAAAAGAATGAAGGTGAAGAACAGAGTTGGAGGACTGATGCCACTGACTGTAAAGCTACAGTGATCAAGACAGCGTGGTTACTGGTGAAAGAACAGACACATAGACCAACAGAGCAGGACAGACAGCCCAGAAACAGACCCCGTAAATATGGTCAACTGATCTCGACAAAGGAGCAACGGCAGCTCAATGGAGAAAGGACAGTCTCCTCGATAAGTGGTGCTGGAACTGCTGGACATCCACGCAGAATTAACCCAAAACGGACCACAGACCTAAACGTAAAGCGCAAAACTATAAAACTCCTGAACGTAACACAGGAGAAAACCTAGAGGACCTTGGGTTTGGAGGTGACTTTTTACAACAACAAAGGCACGACCCAGGAAGGAGAAAAGTGATGAGCTGAACTTAATTAAAAAACACTTCTGCTCTACAAAAACAATACCGAGAGCATGAGAAGACAACCACGGAGAGGAGAGATATTTGCAAGACACATCTGATGCAGGACTGTTTTCCAAAAGATACAAAGAATTCTAAACCCAGAAAGAAAACAATGAACCCGATTAAAAATGGGCCCAGACCTGCCCAGACCCCTCACCAAATAGATACACAGATGACGGGGAAGCAAATGAAAAGATGCTCCGCGTCCTAGTCATCAGGGAAATGGAAATTAAACAATGAGGTTCCACTGCACACCTATCAGAACGGCCAAAACCCAGAGCACTGACACCACCAAGTGCCGGCGAGGACGCGGAGCAGCGGGAACTCCCCTTCACTGCTGGTGGGAAGGCAGGGGCGCAGCCACTTTGGAAGACAGCTGGGTGGTCTCTTACCAAACTGAACAGACTCGTGGGACCCAGCAGTCACGCTCCCTGCTATTTACCCAAAGGAGCTGAAAGCTGATGTCCACACAAAACCTGCCCACCGACGTTTACAGCAGCTTTGTTCTTGATTGACAGGACGGGAAGCAGCCCAGGCGTCCTCCCGCAGGTGGGTGGGTGAGTCACCGTGGTCCACCCAGACGGGGGTATTATTTAGCACCGAAAAAAATAAGCTGTTAGGCCATGAAGAGACACAGAAGAACGTGAAATGCATGACTAAATGACAGAAACCAATTGCAAAGGCTACAGACTGTGTGACTCCAGCTGTGCGACATCGGGAAAAGGCAGCGCAGTGGAGACAGTGAAGACCATGGCGGCCAGGGGCTGGGGGGAGGGATGGACAAGGGGGGCACAGAGGATTTTAGGGCCGTGAAACTACTCTGTGTGGTACTATGATGGTGGGCACACGTCGTAACACATCTGTCCAGACCCACAGAACGTACAACCCCGAGAGTGACCCCAGTGCACACCGTGGGCTCTGGGGGATGTCAATGCAGGGTCACTGACTGTTACAAATGCCCCGTCAGGTGGGCTGTGAGTAGGGGGGGCAGGGGCTAGGAGGATCTCTGTACTTTCCTCTCAATTTTGCTGTGAACCTAAACCCAAAAGATAAACCTAAAGATAAAGGGAGATTGTTGTTCACCTTCCCGAGAAACCCCGTCGAGCTCACCAAAGAATAAACATAGGAACACAGTTAATAAGCTTGGTCCAACAGATAAACACAAACACCACACACGCTCAGCCAGGAGGAAGTGACAGGAGCTGTGTGGCTCCTGGGAGCCCAGGGTGGGGCTCAGGGGGCCCTGCTGTTCAGTCTGACAGCTGATGTGGCTGAGGGTGTGGAAGCTGAGGACCAGTTAGAGGGCGGCTGCCCCCTGCTGGCCGGGGACTGCAGACGAGGATGCAGGTGGGAGAACTCCGAGGCACCTGGCTGGGAGATGTCACCCCTCCTGAGTCAGGAAAACAGGAGGCAGGCATGGTCTCAGGGCTGCGGGGGCTGAGGGACATTCGAGAGCCGGGAACCAAGAGGCAGAGGCTGGAGACTTGAAGGGAGGCCAGGCCCAGTGCCCCTGCTCCCTCTTGAGGAGACCTGGCACCTGGGCACTCATTGGTGAGCACCGACTGCATCCAAAGCTCCGAGGTCCTTGGGGGTGAGCCTGCTGATAGGCCTGCAGCAGCCCGGAGGAGAGGCCGCGCGGAGGCTGCACCTGCGCCCTCCGCCTCTTCAGTACACCTCCGGAGCTCAGTGAGCTGGGGTTTGAGGGTGTTCTGCAAACCATTAGAGGGTAGGAATCAAGTTGTGCGGGTTTGCCTTCCCCACCACTGGCAGCCCGGACTCCTGGCCTTCAAGACCCCACCCTCTGCCGTCGTCCTCCCTCCCCAGGGCTCAACTGGATACTTCTCTTCAGTTACTGTCCAGCCCAGGGCTGCAGGGACCAGCGCATACCTGGAGCCACACCCCGGCGCTGGGCCTTGGGAGGAAAAAGCGTCCTCCTTGGAGTCAGGTCCTCATTCCCTCGGCCCAGGTGCTGGTCGCAGTGAGTCCCCACTGGGCACCCGCCCCCTGAGCAGGCAGTGCTTCTCTGAGCTCATCCGCGACGCAGTAAATAAGGAGCTAACCGTGCCCACCCCTCACAACTCTGGGCTGCCACCATGCACCCTTGTCAGACAGACACAAATTACGAAACATGTTTTTATTTTACATCAAAGTACCGAGCAGATCCTTGCAAAACAACATACAAAGTAGGACTCAGATGCTTGTCCCCCAAGCTGCCCCTGAGCACCAGTGAGAAAACCAAGCCTACTGATCGCTTTCCCCAACCAGAGCACAGGCCAGCACGCCCCACCAGGAGGGGCAGTGTGGCGGGTGTGGTGACCCCTCCTCAGCAGCTGGGGCCCCTGGAGGATGGTGGATCCCTCCCGGCACAGGGTGCGCGGCTGGTCGTTAACCTGAGCTGCCACTTTGTGTGTATGGCTCTGAAGTGAACTCTCCCCGGCCTGGTCTGAGACCAGCGAAAGGGCTGGAAGGGGGTGGATGTGACTTTGACAAAGGCTCCACGGGCCAGATGAGGCTTCATTAACAAACGGAGCTGATGCAGACAGGGATGCTGGGCCTGCCCACACTGCCCACCTAACAGGACTCATGACTCAATCAAGACGCACTTAAGAAAAACTGCAGACACGGACAAGAAAGTAAACATGAGGAAACGAGCAGACCCTTGAAAAGAGCAAACAAAACAGAGAAAACAAAGACAGCCTCAGTAGCTCCACGTGGGCGAGGCCACTGAGGTAGGGTCTGGGGCACTGGATGGATGGAGGGATGGACGGATAGACGGAGCCCAGTTCCCTTCAAAGCATGGAGAGGGGGGCCTCTCCATGATGGGGACTCTGGAGAAGCATCCTCACAGGTCCCTGATGTTCAAGGGGCTCAGGCCGTCCTTGGGGACCTGTGCACGGCCCCGTCAGTCTACCTGATGACTCCAAAGTCAGACCTGTGCGGACCACAGACAGCCCTCCAGTGAGCATCTGGGCGTCCACCTTGAACCTGCGCTGGCCCTGGCTGTGCCCAGTGGCGGTTTTCCCACACGCCCTAGAGTGACAGGCACAGCACCTCCAGGTGGGGGGTCCCAAGAGGTGGGGCTCCTGGGTCTGAGGAGGTCATGCTGGCCCCATCAGCATGTTGAACACGGGGCGAATGGAAGGTGCGCCCCACCCTCCCGTCTTGCTCCATTTACGCCCTCACCCCCAGAACCCAAGTGGCAGGTCCTCCAGCCCTCGGTCACCTTCACGCAGGCGGTCCCAACAGCCACCTGTACACACTCTGGAATCCAGAGCAGATTCCGGAAGCCTAGGCACTCAGCATGGTTTGGGTTGAAAAAGCTATAAATCAGACTCTTCCTAGAAGCCCACTAAACAGCTCACAGGAGCACGCAGGGTGTGTGTGGGGCAGCCCTGAGCGCCAAGCATCTGCAGGCAGGTGGGCAGGGGCAGGGAAGCTCGTGCTGCTGGGCCCCTGAACCCCTCTGCTCAGGCAGGTGCCCTCAAGTCTGCACCCTATACCCCAGGAGCCAGAGCCCCCAGACCTGAGCCCTGTGTCGACCTGACACCCACCCACACCTGTTCCCGAGACAGGAGAGCAGAGTGCCCACCACACTAACCTACAGAAAACTGTGGGAAGAAATCAAATCCATAGGATCCATGGCTTTCCACCTTGGGGTTGGTCCCCAAGGCCTGTGCTAATGGCGTGCCCAGCCGTGCAGCGCAGCAGGCTCACTCTCAGTGCTGCCTGCTGTTCCGGCTGCAGCGAGGCCTGCATGTCCTCTCGTCTGGCTCCTGGTTGGGCCCAACGTGTAAACAGTATTAATAAGCAACAGATGGAAAAATATATTTCCCAAGAAAATGGGGAAGTGCAGAACTCAAAGTCCAGCGGACGTCACAGGTTGCTGTCACCTTCTGCCCCTCTCTCCTCTCGATCCATTTCGATGTTTCCTTTCTTTGGTTCAGCAGCCCCATGTGATGCGCTGTGGCCTGAGGAGAGGGGCCAGTCCCGTGCCCACCAGGGGCCTCACCCTCTGCCAATGACTACTTGTGCTCGTGGCCCTCAGCCATGGCGGCCACCTCGATGGTGGCTGTGTGCTCCTCCGGCCCCGGGGCAGCCATGGTGCTCTCCACGGCCCCTGTGGGCACTGTCACAATGGTGCTGCCCCCGGGTGACACCTGGGCCACGTTCTGCAGGGCGGGGCCCAGGCCCGGCAGGGTGAGCAGCTGCAGGGGGCTGACCACCTTGACCACAGTGCTGCCGTCCTGCATGGCGGCCGTACTCAGGACCGTGAGGCTGGATGCGTCCGGGTGGATCTCCACCGTGCCAGGGAAGGAGGTGCCTGACGAGGCCAGCACCGTGTAGCCCCCAAGCAGCGGCGAGGCAGGAGAGCTGGTGGAAGCCGCCTGGGGGCAGCCCTTGCCCAGCACGGGGGAAGGTAGGGTAGACATCACTTTGCCGATTGGCACGCTGGTCAGCTGGGAGACGGGCACGCCGGGGCTGAGGGCAATCTGGGCGGACTGGGTGAGCACTTGCGAGGCGATGGCAGCCGGCCCGGATGTGGCCCTTGCGAGCCGGGGCCGCTTTATGGGGGGTGGCAGGGACACGGGCGTTAACGTCATGAGCACGTTGCTGAGGTGCTGGGACTTGTGCTTCAATTCCTTGGCCCGTCGGCGGTGCTCGTCACACTGCTGCTCCAGGGCTGCAGGGACAGGACAGAGCGTCACTGCGGGGACGGGGACAGGCACCACTGTCGGGGAAGGGAGTGTCAGACCACACACAGCCTGCCCCTCCGAGCTGCCACACATTCCAATCCACTACATTGTGCATGGAGAGCTGCTCTCGTGATATTAGGTATAAACTAGGTCAAAGCAGCACATGTAGCCAGCCAGCTCTACCTACACATCTGCACACCCACAGGTACATCCATTCACACGCATGCGCACACGCACACACATGCACACCCCGCATGTCCAGACACCGAGGGGTGCTGGGAAAGACGGGCACAGCTGGCACAAACAGGGCTCAGGGTCACGGTCTGTCTTTTCACATCTCTGCCGTCTCCTCTTGTGAACAGCCACGCAGTGAGTCACAAGCTCCACGGTTTGAGCCTCAATGCCCCTGCTGACAATGCCAAGTGCCCTCTTGTCCTACGCGGACTTCGGGCCCCGCACCAGGGATGTAGGCACCCACGCACCGGCCAGGTCGCGGGCATACTGCTCCCGCGAGCGGTCCATCTGGCACTTGTGGCTGGCCAGCACCTTCTTCACCAGGTCCAGCATGCCGAAGTTCTGCACAATGTTGTTGAGCAGCACGGCGTCTGAGGGTGAGACGGGCGCAGTGAGGACGGCTGGCCAACAGGACACAGTGGAGGCCCCTTCCACCACCAGAAGCTGGGCCTCGGCAGGCACAATCCTGAGTCAAGGAGGGGCCTGGAGGAGCAGGACTAGCTGCCCACTCCCTGCAGAAGCTGCTGGGCTCAGCCCAGAGCTATCAGGAGCAGGCAACGCCCACTGCGGCCTAAGCCAACCAACCACCAGCCCTGCTCTGCAGGAAGGGGCCCCACAGGCAGTACCCTCACCTTGGAGCTGCAGAGGGGGGTCCTGCACCCGCTGCTGCAGGCCTTTCATGGTCTCCACCATCTCCTGGTGGAACTCCTGTATGACCTCCTCCAGCAGGCCTGCATCCTTGAGCCCTCGCCAGAAGGCAAATGTGTCATCTGCAAGGGAAGAAGAGGCTCAAACAGCAGGAAGTCCTGACCCAGCCCACGGGAGGACACAAATCTGGGGTCAGCGGGGTTGCCCTTTCGAGCTGGGCAACAGCTCAGAGCTGTCAGGCCAGTGGGCCAGCCCAGCAGGGGACACAGCCTCCAAATACACATGCTGTCCACAGGCACAGCTCCCTGTTCAGTCCTGTTCTCCATGGGGCCCCGCCCCAGGCCCCACCCAGAAGCCCACAGGAAGGACCCTGTACCTCCGATGGTCGTGGTCCAGTCACCGGAGTCCTCGCAGGTCTCTATGGTGATGGTAGCAGGAGACCCGTTCACTGCAACCAAGACGGAAGCAGATGAGCCCGCCTGCCTGGCTGCAAAGCGGCCTCCATGCCGCCTCACGCAGCTGACAAGCACAGGCCCTGGTGCAGAGGGCCCACTGCCTCGCACTTGGATTGTACTTTCCACTGTCCAATAGCAGGCACCGCAGCACATACAGAGCAGAAAGAACCGACAGGACCTCGTAGGCCCACAACCCAGTCCAATACCTCAACACTGGCTCCAAGGGTCAGCGAGCCTGGGCTGCACAGCGGGGTCCTGCCACTCGCTCGGCTGGGTCTGTGCCCCGATTCCTCCCTCCCGTCTGCTTCACCGACACCAACACAGTGTCTCTCCATGTGCAGTTTCCAGTCAAAAGAGGTGAAGCTCTGGGGAACACGAGCTGCCACTCGGCCTCTAGGGCCTGCTGCACATGATCATGGACAAAGGGGCATCTGGTCATTTGTGGCTGCTTTTGATAAAGCTCTGGCTTCATAGAGACCTGGCTTACAAACAAGCCGGCGACTGGCTAATGTTCGCGCTAGCTTTTCAACCTGCCACGTCCACACCCAACAAAGACACGGTGCTGGGAATGTCACGTGCTTGGAGCAAACCTGTTCCTCGGTCAGGCTGACAGGTCTCCCACGAGCTGCACAGGACACTTGGGCCGAGGAAGCCACTGCATGGGTGAAGTTTAAGTAAAGCAACAGACAGCCCTGTCCGGACCAGGAAGGGACCAGAGTCCCAAGAGCTAAATCCTGACCGGATGCGGCCTGTGCCAACACGGTGGGCACTAACTGGCACACTCGGAGACTGGTCCTTCCTCAGAGATCAGTCACCCCATGCTGACCCCCAGGTCACCCTACTGTCACAACAGCTATGGGCCCAACAGGAGTGGGATGTGTGTTTGCATGTGTCCCCCGGGGTGGGGGTGGGGAGGGGTCTCTGTGGTGGCCCAGCCCCTCCACACTGTCTGACGGCAGCACCTGGTACTCACACAGACCGCCAGCAGCACCGCCAGCAGCTCGGCCAGGACTCGGGGCAGGTCTGGATGACGACCGCCCCGCACGGCCGCCCAGCCTCCCTCTCCTCCCTCCAGTACAGGCCATGCTCCCTCAAATGCCCACCATCTCATCAGCGGAAAGGACAGTCCCTGGCCACATGCAGCGCCCAGACTGACCCCGTGCACTGATAGTGTAGAGACAATGCAAGTGACATCACTGGAAACACACCACAAAATTATCACCAGGCAATCTGAAGGGGGAGCTCAGGACCTGGTTCTGCTCTTAGATTTCAAAAAATCTATATTCACAAAGTTGGGATGAGTTCAAGGGTATTTCGTACCCGAGTGAGCGCCAGACATCACCGTGAGTGCATCACAAAGGCGTCAGAGCCCAAGGGGCAGGAAGGCACACACAGCTGAGCACCAAGTGCTGCAGGAGTGCAGGTCCCACCGGGTGCAGCTGCAGGGGCAGCTGTGGAGGCAGGGAGCACCTTGCAGGTCAGAGCTGTAGGTGGGCCCTGGACAGTGGCTTCAACAATCTTTATGTGCTCCTACGTAGGAGTTTCTATGTTTTATAACAAACGTGGCTTAAAAAGAAAAAGTGCTTGAATCGTCCCTGCCAATGAAATATCAGTTCAGACTTCTACAGTGAGGGAGGAGGTAGCCACTGACCACAGGGCCCAGGGGCCCAGTTGCCCGAGCTGAGGGGCACATCCGCACATCCAGCTCCGTGGCCAGCAGCAGAGGGGCTGGGTGACACCGAGCAGGCGTGGCACATACCATCAGCCGTGGCGGGTGTGAGTGGGAGGTACTCAGCCGATGTGGGGCTACTCAGGGACACGCGGGCGCCCGAGAGGTCGATCTTGGTGCTGCGGCAGGTGTTGGAGCAGACCTTGTCGTGCTGGTAGAAGTCCAGCTCCCCGGAGTCCATGATCTTCCTGTGCAGGAGACAAGCACCCTATGTGTGCCTGTGCCATGGCCAGGCCATCTGCGCAAATGACTGGACCCAAACATATCGCTCAACCCCCCACTAGGGCGACCTCAGGTCCCAGGAGGGGTAGCCCAGGCCATGTCGGAGGCCAAAGGAAGCTCCCTGACAGGCTTGTCCAACAGCCTAGCACAAAGTTCTGGGTTCGTGAGTGGACTCACTGCAGCCAGGCTGGGTCTGACCACAGGAAGTGAGACGCAGTGGCTGGTGCCCTGGGGGAATAGTGAGGCCGCAGGAGAGCAGACCCACAGTGCACAAAGGTGCTTTCAGTGGCACAGGCTGGCAGGTAGGCGGGTAAGAACCTGCCAGGAGAAGCCTCATGGCTCTGAGTTCCCGCTGCAAAGTCGAGCTGAGCATCAGATGCTCCACAGGGCCTCCTGCCTCCCTCACTGTGGGCTCCATGGTTCCACCGACCCTCCTTCAGTGAAATGGGCCATCGCCTTCCCACAGCTCTGACACCCAGACACTTTATAGAAAGCCAGGGACACCTGGATGGGTTTAGGGAGAACCATGAGCACCGTGGGCCTGCCTGCTCGAGGGCAGGGGACATAGCAGCTGCTGGTCCCTGGCCTTGAGTATCTGCCTCTCTAAGGCCAGACTGTGGTTCACAAGGAGTGACCAGGGCCATGGTCAGGGCTCCACATGAGGGCCACAGGCGCTCCTGCAGCACCACATGTGGCCAAGGACAGCAAGACCCATCCTCTGGGGGAAAACTATGAAGGACAGCATCCCCGTCAGCAGCAAAGTAACACAATCTAGCTACACCAGACACGGCGAGACTCGTCTCTGCCCGGACATGCTGTGGGGGCCGTGGGGCGAGTAGAGCAGAGGGCAGGGACAGACCAGCAGGGGTGCTCCTCCCAATCAGGGACAAGTTGTAACACCAAAACAGGAACTATTGATACGTGAGAACCAGGAGGCGACATTCCCGAGGCTGTGGATGTGAAGGCTTAAGTCAGCAGGGGTCAGAAGGCCTCCCCCCCGGGGCACCCGTGGAGCAGACACGGGCAAGAGCCCCAAGCAGAAGGGTGAGAGCCCATGCCAGGCTGCCAGGGCCCCAGGGCTTCAGACTGGACGCCGGTGTGGAGAGCCAGGAGCTGCTGGGGGCCCCCACTCCTAATGAGTGTCCAAGGGCAGGGAGTCTCTGAGGACAGAGGGCGCTCCTTACCAAGGGCAGGGCGCAGCCCAGCACACCCGCTCCTCATCACAGGGTGGCCACGGTCCAGACCAAGACCCTCTGCAAACTCACTGGCACCAAGGGCCAAGGAGACTGACCCGCAGCCGCCAAACACAGACACAGCCTGAACAGGCAGACCCAGAGCCAGAGGACAGTGTCTAGACAACTGGCCAGGTGAACACGCACCGCAGGTTAAAGACGGGGCTCTTGACACACACTCCCAGGTCTGAGGACACCACCCACCAGTGACCTGGGCGCTCTGCATGCGCAGCGGGAAAGCTGGCTAAGAGATGAGCCAGCGCCTATCTGATGTGCCGACACTGTGTCACACCACAGGGCCTCCAGGTAAGAACCGGCGGAACTCCGAACGAGACAAGACCACAGGAGGCCCACCTGAGCATGATGCCGTTCATCCGGATGGCCCTCTTCCAGTCCTTCAGGGTGGACTTGCCGGCCAGGTGCACAAACTCCTTGGGGCTGATGACATGCTCATCATACTGTAGAGGGAACACAGCAGAGCAGTCAGGATGGCACCTCCCACCACCGGTGCTCCCGCCTGACCTTTCCGGAGCACAGCATGGCCTAGGGAAGGGATGCAGGATGGAGGCAGAGCCACAGGCCCACTCTCAATCAGACTCAGGACTCGGCCTGTAGCAACGTTGGCTTGGGGAATGGATAGCTCAGGTGAAACAAGGTGTGGCCCTCCTGCCTGCACAGGGCTCGCACACTCCAGGCAGGACCCAGTCCATCGCACATATAAACTATTCTATAATTAAATTATACCTCTATCATGTCAAAATAACACAGGATGCAATGTACAGGGGAGCAGTGAACATCCCCTGTGGCCGCCCCATCCCACCTCCAATACTGTCCCTCAGTGACACACACCCGTCCATGTTGAAGCCAGGGAGTGTCCTCCCTGCGTACAGGCTCTGGGCCTGGGAGTCCGACCATGGCTGGAATCCAGAGGCCCAAGAACATAAAATATCCTATTCAGTCTTGTTAAACGAGCAATCATGGGAACTCAAGAATCAAAATAAAACTATATTTACTTAGAAAACAAGCAGGCTGGGGATGGGTGGGTCAGCGGGTCTCGGCAGAGGCAGAAAAGGAAGTTCCAGCCGTGGCCTGGACACCCCACTGGACCCAGGCCAGGGCCTCCCCTTCGCTGGGAGCTCCCTGCAACCTGCATCAGGTCAAGCTCAGGTTACCCAGCCGCCTCCTGTCTCGATCAGATGTAGGTTGGTCATGGCAAGTGAGGCCAACCTGGGGACTCCTACCAATGGAGGTAATTTTCCCACGTTCCTGAGCAGGTCCCCTTTCTCTCACTGAGTCCAGGGAGAGTTGACCCACACTCACCTGGTCGGGGACACAGACACAGCCCACGTAGGTAGCGTCCAGAGCTTTGTGGTCCTACTCAAGCCCCTGCCCGGCGGCCACGCATTTGATCCTGTCAGAATCTCCCTAAGACACGTTATTGATGTTGCAGCGTCTGTCACACTGCGATTTACCAGTTTCCACTCCTTTGCTCTTCACGCCTTCCTTCGCCTACAGCTCCTGTCTGATCACCTGCCTGAACCACTCGGCCCTCGACCCTGAGCTGGAATCAGCGGCTGGGAAACAATCATCTTACTTGTTTATTCATCTTTCTGAAGTGGATGCAGAGCTCTCATGTACTTCAGTGCTGAGTACTGGGAGCTGGTGGTGTGTTTCTGACCAGAAGTATCCGCAGGAGCTTCACTCTCGCTTACGTCACGGAGCCCAGGAGAAGCCTGTTTCCTTTCACTTTCTGCTTGAGGTCAGCTTCCCAGTGAGGACGCGCTTCACAACTGCTTCCTGACAACAAGGTTCTCCCCAGAACCACGCACCAAGCTCAGGAAATTGCCACGCATATGTGACCTCCCCCGAGGCAGCAGGAACCTTCAGTGTCCCAGTGACGACTGCTAGAGCCACTGCCTCTGCGATGCAGGCCCCAGCCCAGGCTGTGCTGTGCCTGCCTGTCAGTCTCATCCCCTTGAACCGGAGCAGCACCTGGCATCCCATCCTCGCCATCTTTGCAGCGTGCGGGCCATTGTGTTGTAGCCTGTCCCTCAGTCCTGCCCGCCCCACCGCCAGCTCCCTGTGCGAGTGCTGCTGTCCCTCTGTGATCACTGCCTCGTCGATGGCGGTGTCTGACGCAAGGCTGTCACCAACCATTCGCGGCTCCATCACCCCTAGTATTGTTGGTTTTCTAATATGAGAGGCTATTTGACATAAATGACATGAAATACTCGGCAACCACATGGCTCGCAGGTTCTATTTTACTGGAGTTACAATCCAGACTGTCGCAGATCATGCTGCCATTCGCTTGTCCCACGGAGCAGGGGGCAGTCCCTGAGCTGGCACCAAGCTTGACTCGCACAGGCTGGGATCCCAGCCTCCTGGACTAGGACACCCTCCCTCCATCCTGGACACGTTCAGACCCGCTGTCATCTCCGTGCAGCGCTCAGAGACGCCTTCAAGGCCCCTGGTCCCCTTCCCCTCTCCTGCGGCTTGCCTTCCAGATGCTTGTGTTGCCACTGCCCTCCCGGGATAAGTGGCTCTCCCCATGCTCTTCCCCGTGCCCTCAGCGAGTCCTGCCGTCCTGGAGAGCCGTTCCTCCTCTGCTACCCTCGCACACGGACTGCTCCCTCCTGAGCTGCCTCTGCAAGCTCATGGCCTCGGAGCAGGGCGCTCACACTCTCACTCCTGGCCTCTCTGCAGCTATCCTGGGAGGACCCCGCCCTTGCAGCTGGCACCCAGAACCCTCACCTGCACACACTTCACATTGATGCCAGGGCACACGAACTTCCTCCAGATCAGGTTGGCTCTGCTGTCCCCACAGGTGATGGGGTACAAGATCTCGGCCTCCAGGTTCTCCCCCTCTTCATTCATCTTCACTTCTCATGAGGTGTGAGGACAGGGAAAGGGTAAGACAGAAAGTCAGTCACAACCTCTCCCAAAGCACTTCCTGCCAAAACACGTAACTACTAGCCCAGAAACCAGAAATCAGGATCCAGGAGGGGCCAGGGACAGGGCAGGGTGAGCAGGGACACCTCAGTCCCATTACAGTTTCAAGTTAACTCACAATCAATTCGACAACATTTAACAACAGTTAACTACAGTAACACTAGCACAAGTGCATTAAACTACGTTCAATTGAAGAACGACTTAAAGACATAAAATCAAACTCTACTTGGGATAATTCCAGAGAAACATATTCATCCTGTTCTAGTTCTGAGGCCCTTAACGTTAGGTGTTATAAAGAACTTTCACTACCACTCACGATGGTTCTAAGCAGAGCTTCCCGCACAGCCGCAGGTGCAGACACGCCAGGCTACCCCCGGAAGGCCCTGCAGCCTGGCTTCCACTGGAGCCAGGCTCGGCTCTGGCCTGGAAGCCTGTCCTCTTGGGAAAAACTGTCCCACCAGCCACTGGCAGGCACCTACCTAACACGGCTTCCTTGAGCTGCGAGGACGCTGTGAAGGCAGCTGCAGCAGCCGCAGCCGCGTTCTCAGTCTCCATGTTGTCCTCACTCAGGTCGCCTCTGGAAGAGGAAGAGGGGAGACATCAGCAGGCCCCAATGACAGTGTGCGTCTCTGCTGCGCTCCGTGGCACTTCCTGTTTAGTCCAGAAGTCCAGTGGCCATGCAGGTCAGGGGACCTGCACTGATGGTCACCAAACCACAGCCCCCAGCAGGTGCTCCTCCGAGTGGGCTGTTTTGCTCACAGTTGTGTCTCAGGTACCCAAAATGCTCCTGGCACGTGAAACAAATCTGTGGAGACCACCAGCACTTTGGCAGGAATTCTACACCTCCATATCTTTAATAAAATTTTTATTCCTATTATAATGATTTCACATGGGTATAGAAACTATCCAAAAATATACAATTTTAGAAAGAAGGGTCAGATCTGCAGAGACTCCATCACTGTGCACCACCGAGCAGGTGTTTATCCCAGGCCTGGACCTGGGTCATGGTGGCGCCTGGGGTGCACAAGGATCCTAGGAAGGTGAGGGTGTTGTGGGCGACAAGAGGATCAGCATCAAAGCAGCAGCAGAGAAAGCCAGGCCCCAGGAGGGAGGCCACCCAGGAAACGGGCACTGAGCGCACTGGCTAAGGGACCTACGGATATGCCCCCGGCCCTGGGGCAGTCCTGAGGGCAGTCAGAGCAGCACCACTGGGGGTGCAGGAAGAGGGGCAGCAGATGAAAGGCTCTCGGAGGGCAGGTGGGGGGCCAGGTAGGGGGTCAGGAAGGAAGGGAGGGACAACAGCAGGCTGTGGGGACATGGGCAGTGCTCAGGGAACCCCTAGAAGGAACCAACCACCCCTGCCCCGGATTTCTGGGTTCACTGGCACTGAGGTTCTACCCACCTCTCGCCACACACACCCAGGGTCAAACTTGCACCATGGCCTGTGCCCTGCCTTTATCCTCCTGACACGGGATCCCACCTGCTCCCTACCCACAGGCCCGCACTGCTGACCTCAGAGCTGCCCTGAGGGGGGGAGCTGGGGAGGCCCAGAGGGGCTGGGGGTGCTGCCCTGCCATGTCCCCCTCTCCACTTGCCCAAAGCTTTACCTCACCTCCACCCAGGTCAGAAATGAGCTGACCAGAGATGCACACTTGGAATCTGGTCTTTGGGACCTATTAGGAGTGCCTCCTACATAAAGAATAGCACTGGGCAAGGGCCATCCCTGACGAGGGTCATGGACTCAGAGGAGCAGCTGTCCTTTCAGGCCATAACTCTGGAAGGCAGGGATGTGGGCAGAACAGGAAAATGGGCTCCTTCCATACAGGAGAACCAGGGCGGTCCCAGGAAGGAAGTGAGTCAAGAGTGGGACAGGAAGCAGCATTGCAAGAGGGCCCAGCATTTAAGGAGCAGAGCTAGGTCCCTGTCACAGGCCACCTACAGGGAAACACCAAGACTAAAGGGTATCCAGGAAGCAGTCACAGGAGCAGAGGTCTCCTGCCCACGACCCCTCTGCCCTCGGCCTCACACACAACTCGGGGATGAATCCCCCCGCAGCACTAACATCCACTTTACTAAAGCAAATGTCAATCAGAGCTGCTGTCAGACTACAAACACTTTCAGCCCAGCAGGTGTGGCTCAGTGGTTGAGCATCAACCTATGAACCAGGGGGTCATGGTTTGATTCCCATCAGGGCACATGCCCAGGTTGCGGGTTCGATCCCCAGGGTGGGGTGTGCAGAGGGCAGTCGATGGATGATTCTCACTCATCACTCTCCCTTCCTCTCTGTAAAAAATCAATAAAATATATTTAAAAAAAAAAAAAAAAAAACAACACTACTTGCTTCTCCTCACGTCACCATGGCAAAGCACTGGGTGGAGGCAGCGTGGGTTGGTTGTCACAAGTAAGGAACACTCCCAAGTTCTCCCCAAATGTCCGGCCAGGAAAGGAATCTGTACCCACAAAGTCATTAGCTCGCTTTCACTGCCCAACTTCTTCTTAAACGTGGGGCCAGAGTAAACCTCAACTTCCCACTCGTAGAACATAAAATATTTCAGAGAAAGAGAAGAAACATCTCCAGGGCCCTCGGCTGCCTCCTGCCTCAGTGTCCTCCGGGCCCTATGACTCGGGGGTACCCAGCCAGACCCCACGAGGTTCTGCAGCTCCTCGCCCGCTCCCGGAACCTTTCTCCATCACAACACCAGGCAAGTGTCCCTGAGGGTGAGGGCCCCAAGTGGAGTGCTGAGACCCTCCTTCCCTAGCGCCCCAGAAGGGAGTACATGCAGACTACCCAACAGGGCCAGGTGCACAGGCCCCAGCCAGAGTGACTGCCTGGCTAGCCCATCCCCCTAGGAAGTGGCAAACACAAGTTTCAATGCACTGAGTTTTGTGGTGGTTATGCAGCCGTGTCAATGACACAGAAACTATCCGGAAGTGGGTGCTGCCACCACATTCTGGGGAAGACAGAGCAATAGGATAGCCAGAGCAGGAGCAGTAGGCTACACAGGGGCTGTGCCAGGCAGTGGAGGAACCACTGGCAACAATGTAGCCACAGTCACTGAAAAGAGGGAAACATGCAAAAGGACTTGTAGCAGAGAAGGTGTGAGGTGTGTGCACAGCTCTGTGGAGTGCAGACGCTGATGCAAGAGGAAGCTGCCCACCCTGTGGGTGCAGAGATGACAGGTAACTCGCGGTCACATGGTTTTATGTCTCCCACTTCCCACCTGGCAAAAGATTTTCAAAATAAGAAATGGCCTCAGGATAAAGATCAAATTAGAATGTGGCTGGACAATCCTCAGGTGTTCAGGCCAGGCCTGGCCAGACAAAGGACTCCTATGAGTCCCCAGGGCATGGCTTCCAAGCAGGGGGTTGGAGGGTGGGGGCTCTAACACCCCTGGAGCCAAGATGCAGATCCCAAACCAGCACAAAACCAAACCAGAAAAGCGCAGCACAGTGAATGGGTCTCAGCTGTGTGCCTGCAGGACTCAGGCCCAGCTGGGACAGGAACTGAGTGAGCCCAGGCCACCTAGACGAGGAGACCCTCCTATCCCAGCCCCGCTCCCAGATAGCAGCGTTTGCCTCCGGGAAAGGGAAGGGGCATGTTGCTGTGGACTGAACTGTGTCCCCAAATTCACATGTCGAAGCCCTAATCCCAGTGTGACTGTCTGCAGATTCGGTCTTCAGCAGGAAATTAAGGTCAAATGAGGTCAGGACGGGCCCCAATCTGAGAGGACTGTAGTGCTCAAACCAGAGGAAGAGACTGTCTCTACCAGGTGAGGCCACACGAGCCAGGGAAAGTCCTCCCCAGACACTGACCCTGCAGACCTGGATCCTGGACTTCCAGCCCCCGGGACAGTGAGAAATGACGTTTCCCCAGGGTGAGCCACCCTGTCCACGGTATTTTGTTATGGCAGTCAAGCTGATAAGGACACGTGTGTTCTGGGCACTCTGGCCTGCCCCAGACAGAACTAGCGATGCTCATGAGAAGGCTCAGTGAGTCACCCCACATGCCAGTGTGGGGCTGGACATTCCCCATCAGGCCACGTGCCTGGGTGGGGTGATGCAAAGACTGGGCTCAGTCAGACCAAAGCACCCCATGAGGTGCCTGTGGCAAGGGCTCCTCACAGCGCCCAGCACACCAGGAGGAGGCAGCGTGGTCTTTCCCACCAAATGTCACTTCTGCCCACTGTGTTCATCAAGAGCCATCTCCAATCCACGGGAAGGGGCTTGGGTGCCACCTCTGAGCAGGACATGGGAGGTCACTGCAGAGCAAGGGTGCGGGGAAGCCCGCCCACAGAGGCGCACTGACAAGCTACCAGAGAATTCAGGTGGGAAAATCCACAGGCTCAGTCACACGCGCCATCAGTGCAGCTAGAACCCAGCAAAGAGCTGGCCGCCTCACTGTGTGCGCAGGGATGGAGAATGAGCCCCGCCCCGAAAGGAGTGTGCGCACAGTTTGAGGGCGAGGGCGAGGGCGAGGGCGAGGGCGAGGGCGAGGGCGGCCGGTGCCCCACGCAGGAGCTGCACACAGACTGTGCAAAGCGGCGACATCCAGCGTCCTGTGTGCCCTACAGGAACTGCGCCTGGGTTGGGCCCTGGTCTAGAACCTTTCCCCAAGCATCCTGTTAGACAGAGGACAGGCCAGAGCTCGCCCTTGTAGTCAGGGACATGCTGAGGTCAGTCTGAACGGGACACACTCAGGACACAGCAAAGATGACCCACAGGGAGCTGGTCTACTCCAACCCCTCGAAGGCGACAGGTAGGGCTCGGCGAAAGGAAGCCAGCAGTCGGCTCACACGCCAGCTTCTTTGCCAACTAGTATTCTATGTGGACGTCTATTGTAAGAGATGGGGAAGAAAACGCTGTTACCATGAGGAATATCAGGAAACTACTGGCTCTTCATTTTGAAATAATAGTTCCCAATTGTCCCTCCTGCCTATCTTATCAAGAGAAACGTCAGGTGTTTTCAGAAATGAGCCCTATGACTGTGGTGACGCAGGAGTCCAGGGCAAGGACGAAGCATTATCATTGTCCTGCACACTCTGCACTGACATGGACTCAAGTCTGGTTCAGAACGGCTATGATGAAGGGAAACTCCAAAGGCCTCACACTGTGCCAGATGCCGCCATCCCACCGCCATTCCACCGCCCCCGCAGGGCACAGACCTGTCCTTACCCGTGGGCAGCCAGGTTGGTTGTCACTAGCACTGTCTTGACCTCCTCCATGCCATTGCCATCCACCGCGGTGTCGGGTGTCGTAACCACCACCACCTCCTCCATGTGCACACTGACATCTGGGGTTGCCATGGCTCAGGTGAAGAGGACACCCAGGACCAAGACGTCACTCTGCCAGGACCCCAAGTCCTAGAGGAAACAACAGGCAGGGCACAGGGTCACGAAGGTCCGCATGTCTGTACAATACAGCTCACTGTTGCTGACAAGTCGCTCTCAGTCCCAGCACACACTTTCTGACAGAAATGACAACGGGAAAAGGGCTGTCCCGGGCTGCTATCTGGTGAGGATGGACTGGCACAACTGCCTGTCCTAGCCGCTGTGAGGGCTGAGGTCCGTGAGCAGAGCGATTGAACAGGCAGACACCTGGGCCTGAGGACGCAGAGTCACAGCAGGTGTGGGGAAGGAGGCCCGGATCCCGGCGGACTCCCAGCAGGTGAGTCTCTGGTTGTTACCTGTCGCGCCACCATGTCCCGGCCACATCCCAGAGCTCTGCCTAGAAAGCAGTTGCAAACGGGTCCTGTCTCTAGGCTGGGGAAACGGAGGGGAACCCACACAACCACCTGCAAAAGAGCCTGGAAGTTTCCTATAAAATAGGTGTGCTCCTCCTCCCACAAGACCAGCAACCCCACCTCCAGACACAACAGCCAAAATAACTGTGAGCTTGGACTCACACAGATCCACACATCCAGCTTGTGACAACAGGACTCACAACAGACACAGGCAAGGGACCAGCCTACACGCCCATCAACAGCTGTCCTCACCCAAATTTCAAAAACAGAGCACTAAGTGATGTGAACACACAAAACTGAATCCCTGCCTCCAATGGCAACAAAAGTTACTTCACAGAGAACTGCTGGAGTTTAGACACCATCTTCCTCTTCCCAGTCCCTGGAAGAGCCAAAGCCCATGCCCAGTTCTTGACACCAAGCTTGGGTTCATTACTAGTGAAAACTGAGCACCAACTAATTTAGAGGTAAGATATAAAAAAGTATTTTTTAAATAGCATTCTTGGGCATAAATATCTCTCTATATATAAAAGCCTAAAGGACTGAACGACTGAACAACTGGTCGACCAGTCGCTATGATGCGCACTGTCCACCAGGGAGCAGATGCTCAACGCAGGAGCTGCCCCCTGGTGGTCAGTGCGATCCCACAGTGGGAGCGCCACTCAGCTGACCGATGTGCACCAGAAGCCGGGCTAGAGCCAGGATGAGCGGGAGTGGCGCCGGCACATGGCCCGGGCTCAGGCTCCTCCCCAGCTGCCTGTCACCTGGCACACTACTACATCCCCCAAGGGGTCCTGGATTGCGAGAGGGCACAGGCCAGGCAAGGGACCCCAGCAGTGCAAGAATCCAGGCCTCTAGTATAAAAATAAGACAAAAATGTTAGTTCCTAAGATTAAGATCTAGCTTTCCATGTCTTCTACAAAATTACAAACATTTGAGAATGGGGGTCTACAGGAAGCAATCTCACCTCAAACCCTAACTGGCCCTGCCCCAGGCCTGACTCCTTCAGTAAGTCTTTGCCTCGAGCCGGCCCTGTCCATTGTTTCTGTGCATCTAGGTTCTCACACCTTTGAACTGCCCCCTTGCAGACCCTCCCTTTAAAGCTTGAGCACATAATCTTGACTATCCTGTAATCCGATCCAGGCCGAGCTTTCTCCCTTCCTTCCATTCCCTCCTTAATTCCAAATGCATAAAAGAAGCTGCAGTCTGTAGTCCTGAGAAGCATTTTTCTGTCTGTCGAGATCTTGCTTCCAAGCATTTCCTCTGTTTGATTCCGACAAATTATTATAAAAATCCTCTGTAGGTCTGGCAGTGCTTATGTGGACACTTTCATGAAAACACCACTAGAGAGACGGCAGAGGTCATGCACCAGGAACAAGCATGATTTTTTATCCTCTCAGTGTTCCAAATGTTTAATTAGTTGCCAACTTTTTCAAAGTTTACAAAGTTCACATTTTAAAATTTTAGATTGCCCTAGCTGGTTTGGCTCAGTGGATAGAGCATCGGGCTGTGAACTGAAGGGTCCCAGGTTCGATTCCAGCCAAGGGCACATGCCCGGGTTGCAGGCTCGATCCTCAGTAGGGGTCGGGGATGTGTAGGAAGCAGCCAATCAATGATTCTCTTTTATCATTGATGTTTCCATCTCTCTCTCCCTCTCCCTTCTTCTCTGAAATCAATAAAGAAATATATTTAAAATTTTAGATTTCCAGCTTCTCTTGGAAAATGTAGGAGTCCCTGGAGGTGGTCCTTCTAGTCCTGCCTTTCCCAGAGAATCTGGGCTTCTAGTCCAGCTGGGGTGGGCACAGATGCACCAGCTCTGGTATCAACCATACTCTCGCCACACCCAGCCAGGGTCCCACCCAGCCAAGCTGAGCTATGTGCCTACATGTGCAGCCCCCAATTCGCAAGAATTTGTGGTTCTGAAAAAACATTTGAGCAGCCATCCTTCCCAGTTCAGACATGAAATGGCTTATTATTTTAAGGCCTAGGTTTGAATATAGTTTTATAAGTATTCTAAATTCACAGAAACCATTGCATGTTTGTACATAGATATACAAATTCCTCTCCCGCCCAGTGTGTCTCCTTACAATTTTTAAGACACTTCTCACGAAGAAATAACTTCTGGACAGTCCGCTTAATTTGTTGTTTTTGGCATTTACTTAATCATTTGAATTTACCCTTAATAAGACTGACATCGTTTTGTGCAGTGTTGATGGGAAGTAATCTGATACAACCACATATCCAGCCATCCCACTTCTCGATATTCTTCTGAAGGAAATGAAATCAGACCTCCAAGATACCTGCATCACTGAGATACCTGCACCCCACGCTCACTGCAGATTTATTCAGAGTAGCCAACTATGGAAGCGACCTAAATGTCATTCAATGGGTGAGTGGATAAAAATGTGGTCCCTCCATACAATGAAATGTCAGTCTTAAAAGAGGAAACGCGGCCATCTGTGACCGCCTGGATGGCCTGGAGGACATTAGCCAGACAGCGGACACATGCGGGGCTCACTCGGAGGGGTGTGCTCAGCCCCAGCCCGGCTGCAAGCTCGCTAAGAGGGCAGAACTTAGGTCAAGTGTTTTTATCACAAATAAGAGGGTGGGAGGAAACTTCTGGAGGTGGTGGACACGATTGGTTTCCAGGTGTGTACTTATCTCCAAACGCAAGTTGTATACAACAATTATGTACAGCTTTTCGCCCTAACCGGTTTGGCTCAGCGGATAGAGCGTCGGCCTGCAGACTCAAGGGTCCCGGGTTCGATTCCGGTCAAGGGCATGTACCTTGGTTGCGGGCACATCCCCAGTAGGGGGTGTGCAAGAGGCAGCTGATTGATGTTTCTCATCGATGTTTAACTCTCTATCCCTCTCCCCTCTGTAAAAAGTCAATAAAATATATATTTTAAAAAAAACAATTATGTACAGCTTTTGATATGTCTAAAAAAAGGCTGATGGAATTCTAACTTGTAGCAAAGAAGCAGACCTGGTTCAAGGGGCATGTCAACCACCTAAACGGAGTACAAGTTAACCGAGTGCCGGCAGGTCATTACCGGAGTGGACGCCGGGGACTCGGCTCCCCCCGGCCGCACAGGCAGGGTTCCCGGGGGGACGTGGGGATTCGGCTTCCCCCGGCCCGCATGGAGACACGGTTCCTACCGAGGGGGACGCATCTGACACCGGGGGGCCCGCGTGGATACGGCTCCCACCCGGGGGAAGGGGCCCGCGTGGACATGGCTAGCACACCCGGGACCGGGGTCCGGGCTCCGGGCGCCCGCCGCCCGCAGCCCGCCGCCCGCAGCTCCGCCGCCCGCCTTCCCGCAAGATGGAGGTCGACGCCACCGCCGCCGACGCCGCCTGACGCGGGCCCGTGACGCCCGTGACGCCCGTGACGCCCGCCGCGGGCCACCGGCCCTTCCCCGCTTCCCTTCCCCCGGCGTAACGTCCCTGGACCTTCCGGCAAGGAACCCCCTGACTGGACGGCCGGCGCCGCGGGCAAGAACGAGAAGGCCTCCCCCGCGGGGGGGCGGGGGGGCGCTTACCTGGGCCGCGGCCGGGCCTCTGCAGGCGCCGCCGGGCGGTCAGACGGCGGTGATGGCGGCGGGGGCAGTGGGGGCGGCCGCGGGCTCCGCTCCTTGTTGGGGATTCGGCGGCGGCGGCGGCGGCGGCGGCGGCGGCGGCAGCCCGGGAGCGCGCTTTCTAGTGACGCAGGCGGCGGGGCCGCGCACGTCCGGGCCAGGGCGGGCCGGAGATTTATTTGGCGTTCGGCGCGGAGCCGGGCGAGGCCCAGAAATAAGGCCCGGCGGGGGCCGACGCGCGTGCGCGGTGACACCGCTGGCCGGCTCGCCCCGCGGCCCCGCCCCTGCCCGCCCGCACACCTGCCCCGCAAACCACCTTCGTGGGCACGAGCCGAGGAAGAATTGGCAGGGAGCCTTGTTTCAGGGCCGAGGGCCGGTGCGGGGGCAGTGAGCCGCGAAAACCTGACGCGCGGACGGGTCCTCGGCGAGTCCCGGGAGGGCCTGCTCCCAAACGTCAGCCCGGCTCCTCCTCCTCCCGCCGCGGTCCTGCTGAAGGCAGCCGCAGGAAGCGCCGTGCCGGCGGCAGGACGGTGCCATACCGGTTCTTGTGAGTGTTGGCCCTGGCAGCACGAGCTCATTTATTTTATTAGAGTTCAGCCCGGCCGCTCCCATGCACCATTTCTAGGCGGCACAGACCCAGGCTGCAGGCTCCATTCCCAGTGGAGGGCGTGCAAGAGGCAGCCAATCAATTTTTCTCTCTCATCCATGTTTCTACCTCTCCCTCGCCCTTTCTCTAAAATTCATAACATTTTTATTTTTTATTTATTGTTTAAATTTAATAACATATTTTTTAAATAAATTACAATGCAGTTCCTCAGTTATAGCTGAGCCATAAAAGACCCACAGATGTAGGGTTAGGGATGCTCTGAGAATTTCATTCGTCCTCTCGGGGTCCGGAAGGGAAGGAGGTAGGCATCACTCGGGTTTTGCGGTGTTCCTGTGACTTGTGAGCAGGTGCAATCGGCCTTGCTGTGTGAAAGGTGCAGTGGGGCCCCAGGGTGGCGGCTAGTGGGATTCACCTGCCCTCCCCCGAGCCGGGGCAGTTATGAAGCTACCTGCCCTTGGCCTGAGGACTTCCGGTGTCCTGCACATTCCTTAGTCTCCCTGGCTCCAGCTGTCAGGGTAGCCCAGCGGGTGGCCGAGGCTGGCTGTTCTCAGAGCAGGGCAGGCACACCTGAGCTGTTCAGTATCACTGCTTTTCGTGCTAGCAGTTTCTAAAAAACTGCCTCCGGAAATGGGCAGGAAACTGATGTCTTGTTTAGGACCAAGTTGTAAACCCATGTTTATTCTTCAGCAGGAAGACAACTGAAGGCCATTTCCCAGAATGGGAGGTTTTCAAGCAAACTTCATTTCAGTGATGTTATCATTAGGAGAGTTGCACTTTCATGTTTTCAATAATGTAGAGTGTACTCAAGCCACTGATGGAAAAAGTCTTTCTTTTTAAAGATTAAACTATTGAGCCTGTTATCTGAGCAGATGTGCACAGTCTAGGTCCATTATTTGAGTTCCCATCTTCACATTCTGGACACAAATGCCAATAAAATCAACAAAGAAGGCCCAGAAGGGCACTGGTGTCAGGAATCAGGCGAGCGTGCCACCAGGAGAGCGCTGCCAGCGACATCATGCTTGCACCAGGCACCCCCTGCTCTCCGTGACGGGTGAGCTTCGGCCTCCCGGCCTCCATGTTTCCACTGCAGCATGAACTCAGGCCTAGCATCTGACCCTGACCTCACCTCTTCTGTCTCCAAAAGAGCTAGACTACAGCACTGGGCTCTGCTTGGCTGGCAGGATGGATTAGTTCATCCTGGGCCATGGGGGTGTTGATTTCTCTTCAGGAGCACTCATGGGAGATGCCCATCCTGGGTCCCACGGGGAGGGAGCTTTCATCTGGGTTTTTTGCAGGGGAGAGGAAAACTCAGTGTCATGCAGGTCACTGCCTTTAGACCCTCTGCTGAGAACACCTGGACTCTGGAGAGGCAGACCAGGAGGTCATCACCAGGCCCCAGGATGCCATGGGGTTGCCTTGCCCACCCTCTACTCAGGCTCCAGACCAGACGAAGCAGGACAAGGCAGGCCCAGCTCACCCAATCCTGTCCCCTCCCTCCGCAGCCATACAGGCCCTGAGCTCCGCTCTGGCCCCAGAGTCCCACCCATGGGTAAAGACTGAGTCAAGGACGTGACAAACTAGGCGGCTGATGTAAGAGCAAGGAAAGCTCAGGTTGGTTTTGAGTTCACATTGCAGCCAACTTTTAAGAAACTACCCCTCATCAAGCTTCAGTTTGGTATTAAGGAATGAGTATTAAAATACCCATTCCTTTTCCAACAGCCATTGATCTCCATGAAGCCAGGTTTTTTCATATACTTCAACCGTTCCAGTTACTTTTTTCATTGTTTTTAATTTTAAAGTGTTATGCTAGCCCTAGCCGGTTTGGCTCAGCGGATAGAGCGTCGGCCTGCGGACTCAAGGGTCCCAGGTTCGATTCCGGTCAAGGGCATGTACCTTGGTTGTGGGCACATCCCCAGTAGGGGGTATGCAGGAGGCAGCTGATCGATGTTTCTCTCTCATCGATGTTTCTGGCTCTCTATCCTTCTCCCTTCCTCTCTGTAAAAAATCAATATATATATATATATATATATATATATATATATATATATATATAGGGTTATGCTAAAAGTAAT